TATATATATATATATATATATATATATATATATATATATATATATATATAATCCTAGATAATTTTATTGCTTTGATTCTTAAATAAAAATATTTAAAGTTTCAATATAGAGAATATATATACATATATTAAATGTATATGTATGTTCAATTCTATGTTAAATATTCATATTTAAAGACCAAAACAATGGAATGTCCAAGATTAAATATGTATCCAGGCATTGGTATTTTTGTCTTGTACACAATCTTTTTTCATATAAACAATATAAACTACGTAGAATATTGTAGATTGTATTAAAATATATATACAAAAAAAGAGTAATTAAATTACGAGACAGTTGGTATATCTAAATATTTGTAACAATCGAACTCCGCGTGTCGGTTGTTGGGTATGTCGCAGGATTTTTCGCTCACCAGAGTCCGAGTCCCTATTTTCGAAAATATATCGCATACGACATTTAGTGAAAAGCTATAGTTCATGTTACGTATACTATAGCTCTCCACTAAATGTCGTATGCGATATTTTTTCGAGAATCAGGGCCCAGGTTCAAAAAATGACAGGACACTCGAGATAAAAATAAAGAAAGAAGTAGTTTATTTTTATTCCCAAATACAGAGCAAAATGAATTTGTTTCAAAGGTTCAATATGAGACGGCACCAGCAACCGGATCATAATTTCGGTAGGCCGCGGCTGGCAAGACGGTGGACGAAGCGTTTAGCGCGAACGCTATGTAAAGCGGGGTCTACAATGAGAACTTAAGCCATAAAACTTAAGCTTTAAGCCTCAAGCTGTAAGAAATTGACTAATCAGTCAAATACAAGGAAAATAACTGGCAGTGATTGATCAATTTGTTAAGGTTTCAGGCTTAAAGCTTAATACTGCAATTCTAAACAGAATCGTAAGTCTCGTAACTTGTCCTCGTAAAATTCGTAAGAATTTATGAGTAGATTTATAAATAAAATTGTATGCAATATCATACAATCATTTGTAAATCACTCGTAAATTACATGAAATCGTAAATATTTATGAGTAATTGTACACGCGTGTCCGCGTAATCGATTTACGCGTGACGGCGACTGTGTTGGCTGCGTCCGGGGAGACGCTATTTAGCGCTATGAGTGTGCTCTGTCCTTGTTTGTTCCTGAAAGTTGAACAAGGACAGAGGACGCCCAGAGCGCTAAATAGCGTCTCCCCGACGCAGCCGTTGTCGTCGCCTGCTTGTTTACGCGACTCTTGGGGCTTTGCGGCGTTTAGGTGGCGCATAGCGCCGGTTAACGGCCCGACTGGTGGTCGGTCGGGCCGGTTACGTGACGATGCTGTTGTGCATCGTCACATTACTCCCCTTGCTGTGGCAGGGAGGTAGCATCAGGGAGGCGTCGGACTGTTCTCAGGCTGCCGTTATGGTTGAAACGGAGTACCCAGCGTCCCTGCGGCATCCGCACACGGTAGCGGCGGGAAATGTGGACCGCGAAATGCGGTATGTCCGCGTACAAACCCGGTTCTAACTCCACCCGTATCGGCGGTGGCAATGGGCCGATTATAGGTTGACGAGCAGTACAAAGCGGCACCGGTTGTATGATCGGTTTCGGCAGTTGTGTTGGAACTGGTGACGGTGCTACTTGGCCGGTTTTTTTTATCCCGGCGGTATGTCTTCGGCATCCAGATGGTAGGAACAGCGGAGCCGAACGTAAAACAGCCTTTACAGCATCGGACTTCTTAGACTTGGCCCTTCTTGATGACAATATCCCGATCGACGGCGGTCTCAGTGGCCCGATGTTCGGCAGCGGTCTCGGGACCGGCGATGTCTCTGTCGGTGGTTTCATCGGCGGTGTTGATGCCGGCGTTGGTGTCGGCGGTGACGGTGCCTCCGTAGTCTCCTCGTCTTCCGAAGACAGTTCTGCGTTTGTCCAGAGGATGCGGACTCCTCTGATGTCGTGTATCTGTTCTGACATTCTGTTCTCCTCGCTCAGTGTCGCGGTGAGAGTGCCTGGCTCGTGCTGGTTGTCCTGTTTATACATGCTTATGTTCGTGAGTCTGGGGTCATTGTTGTCGTCCTCGATGTTGTTGTTCCTCGGTTTTGAATCTGGGATGTGTATATGCTGATATCATCGACCGTTTTTGTCTTTCAAGTCGACAACAACCGGCGATATGATACATTGTATAGTCAACGGTCCGCTGTATCTTGGTATTAGCTTTGCGTTGAACGCTTTTGCTTTGCTCGATAATGGATATTCTCGTTTCCAAACTATGTCGTTAACTTTTGGCCTCCAATCCTGCCACCTGAGGTTGTAATGCTTCTCCTGGCATTGGAAAGCTCGTGCCAAGTTGATTTTTCATCCACTTCATAAACCTCCTTCAGCCGCCGCTGTTGGGTCGCCGGTTTCCTCCGCATTGTGCATCATCACATTAATTACAAATATAATGTTTAAAAAAGTAAATTGCATGAGATGTTCATTTTATTATACGACGGATCAGTAGATTTAATTTAAAAGAAAAGAATATAAAAACCAGAGGATTCTGTGGACTCTAACTTGTTTAGAAAACAATATTTATAAATTTATCTTAGAATTCTTTATGTCTTTATTTTATGTCAGGTTAAACAAAAATATGAACTTTTTTTAAGTAACTTTTATAAGTAAAACTTTTATAAGTTTTCGAGCAAGCTATATATTCTTTAAACAACATTTATAGTTGTCTTCTAGCATAGACGCAGAATATCATAATTTACATGTAAACGCCCAATCCTGAAAAAAGCATTAACACTAACATGTATCTTATAAATAAGAAGCGTATACTTCATGGTTTTTATTAGTTTTGATCCGGTGTAAATTACATAGTTGGGAAGCCTGCATTTTTAACGATATTAAAGAAAACATGTCTGTGATATCTAACGCTTTCAGATGAAGAGAATGAAGCAGATTGAACAGGAGAAAGACGTATTGCTTCAAGGTCTAGCTGCTGTCGATAAAGCTAGAGAATGGTACTTGAAGCAGATCTCCGCAACACAAGAGAAGATTAAACATCTCGGACGAATGGGTTCTCACGTGGTACGTAAAATACTATTTATTCTTAAAAATAGAAAGATGTTATTTGCTTATCTCGTGATTAATGCTCCTGGCCTCTCGCATTGTCTATCTCTTTTTAATGACGTCAGAAACGAGGAAATGCATGCTAAAAATTCTTGCGAAATACGTTGAAATAAAAAGATATATCTGTAAAATGACACTTGCAATCAATTAAATAAATATTCCGTGCATTCCTTTTTTGCTTTAATAATCAATAATTTGTCATAAATTAACATAACATATTCTTTATCTTCTTAACCTATTTCTTCGCATTCAGATTAATTTATAATAAATTATTGTAATTTGATAGACCAAAGGGAATATCTTATAAATTTAATCGATTGTAAGTATACTTTATGGATATATATTTTTATTTCAACGTATTTCGCAAGAATTTTTAGCATGCATTTTCTCGCTTCTGACATCATTAAAAAGAGATAGGCAATGTAAGGGACCAGGAGCCTTAAGAAGGTCAAAGTTTTAAACGCAGTTTAAATACAGAATAGAACGTAGATCTTTTACTCTTTAGATTTTTCAAAACTTCATCTGTGTACGCAATTGTATGTATGATCTGTTTCTCGCAGGAGCAATGGACGGAAGCGCAGCAGGAACGCTTGGAATTGCAACGTGCACGAGTCCTGGAAGTGAATCGACATCTGGCTGCCTTGATAAGCAGCTGGGAACGCGGAGGACTTCCTCTTCACATGAATCTCGCTTTCCTGAGCACCCCGACTTCGGCTCAATTGCAACAAGATATGTTGTCGAGGCTTAAACAACAAAATCATAGATTAACTGAGGTAATATGTAACAGTAATGATATATAATAGAAAAATCGTCGGGGCAATTAATCTGATCTACCTTACTCGATGCAACGCCAAAACAGGAAGTTAGCAAAAAGAGCCAACGGATAGCGCTACTTGAGCAGGAGAAGGACAGTCTGGTTAGGGAATTGTACAATAGACAGCCTGGACTGGTTCAGTCCCGAAGAGCGACGATGATCCACGAACAACACGATCAAACATTCATGTAAGGTACTAACAGTACTTATAAGCGAACTCGTCAAACGGGACGAAATCACTAATCTCTAATTTTATTACGTCTTTCTTCCAGAATATGAATTACTTCCGACGAATTATTAACGAAAGCGCACGAATGACAGAATAAAAAGTTAATCCTTAAATAGCGCGCGGAAGTAAAAAAGAGCAGTAAGAGAAATTAAATGCAAAGTATTTGATATATTGTATTAAGGTGACGTCAATGCTTCCTTATCAATTCGATATCTCATGTTAAGGCTGTAAAGTATTTACTAATAGTACGCAAATACTATTTAGATAATATAGTGGTAGTAGGTAAAGCAAAATGCCTTAAGATTCATGTAATCCGTCCAAAAGAAGAAAAATTTGCCTTAATAAATTATTATTTTAATTAATAAATTTTACGCGCGAGCGTTTTCTTTTTGTCTCCTTAGCTCGTAGTCTCATACTTTTATCAATGCTTTCGATTGTACACGATGTACGCCTTGACATAACGAACTTGAGCCCATAAAAATTTCATTGCACTTTATTTCTTTACGTTTGGAACAGTAAGTGTTAAAGGTTCATTTCCATCACATACGTATGCATATACATTTCAACGATTTCCGGATTTAGAGTCGCTAATGTCAAATGTTATCGAATTCTGGAAGGCGATAGCACGTTACTACGATATGCCGTTAAATCCGTTATTTTAAGACTCGCTCGATCGATATGCCAATCATTTATTAATAAAGAAAACAATACCGTATATACACTCGACATGGTTAATGCATATCGTAATTGCATATGCGAAAAGTCTTGTTCTTACTTTGTTATATTATTTTTTATCATTACATTTGCACGAACCACAAAAAGTACAATTCAAAAAGTTGCGCTATCTGTCGAAATTATCGATAAGTGCATCGGAAAACTTGTAATTGATAGTTTCTTTACAGCTTTTTTTAACAAGTCAATTGATAAAGATTCAATCACTATCATGGTATGCCATTTCTTTCGTGATCTGTGCAACAAACAAAAAACGGAGCGAGACTGAATCTCTAAACAGTAGGAAATTCCTAAAATTCCCACTGGTCTGTCGACCATATGGCTTGTTCAGAAAAATGATTGGTAAAGCCCCATATGTGGCCAAGGACAGCAATTTAGCGAGCCCAAACGTGCATAACTCTCAATCACAACTAGAACTCCATTACACGTTTAAACGTATATCTAGCATACGTTCATAGATACGTATAATAAAGTAATCACGATTACACTTTTGGAAACGTGTATTCGTTTAACTTTGATTCCGCTTATTCAATTGTTTATATATCTTTAAACAGAAACAAGAGTCTCACTGATCTTTTGTGGCAATCGTGCGAGACAAGAAAGACAAGCAGCAGAGACATCACATCGCGTGCATGCTTCTTTCCTTTGCAACACTAGTCGTAGTCGTGTAAATAATTATTCGTGCTGTCAAATACGGATTGCAGAATTCGTTTAAAGGATTAAACGTTTAGTTATATCGAAACAATCTCCATCAGGCGTTTCTAAACGGATATACGTTAAGTATTTCAACGTGTATTCGAAAAGCGGGAATCGAAGCGGGAATCGAATCTAATCGCAACATAGTCGCGAAATTCGATCGGAATTTCTACTCATATAAGATGCGAGACAAAAGGACAACTTTTACAAGAATAATCAAAGCTACGATTTCCCGTCGTAGCTCACGCTGATAATCGCTGATAAAATATAAATGCGACCGATGAGCCAAGAAAGAATCGTAAGGCGTTCGCTGCCTGTAAGCTGTATCCCTCTCAGGGCACCACATCGTGAGTCGACGGCCGCCGAGAGCTGCAGCACCCCACGCGCTGTTTCTCGGAGGGCGACTTCCACGCAATCGCGCCTAATCGGTGGCGTTCAGTCAGCCGCCACGAGTCGGCGGATACGGTTGGTTCACGTCCACGGCTCTGGGCCAGCTCTGCATCGTCCCTGACAAACGACGACGCTCAGACTGTTCAGGTTGCAGCGCGGCCCCCGTCCAGAGACCGCGCTGACCCCGGTATCCCCTGTCAGCCGGCCGACCTTTGACATTCGCACCGAGCGACGAAAGCCTCAGCAGCAGGCCGCTGGCCGAGCGGTCGACGATCTCTCCCCTTTGAGCTCCTCCGCTCGTTGACGCTTATCCGCGGATTATCGCCACAATACTCTCTCGCCGCGGGACTCTGCTCTTTTTCCTCGACGTTTCCATCGCCTCGTCATCGTGGAACATCATGAGACTGACGCTGTCGGCTGCTCTGCTGCTCTTAACGATAGGTACGACTCATCGCAACTTCCACGCGTCAGGTAGCCGAATTATTTTGGCAATTTTTTTGGCCCGAAGTCATCTGGTTTTCCTTGCTACTTCTCGTTCTTAACGTTCTTACAATCTGGGTAGTTTTTTGGGGTTTTTTGGGACTTTTATCACGTCTTTGGATTAGAATTACTTCATACATCAAACAGTAGATTGATAAAAAAAGATGACCTTCTTTACCGAGCCACTGTAACGGCTTCCTGGGTTCGGTTATCATTTATTACTTTTAAATTCTAATCAATGTTGAGTTTGCGAATTAATCGATTAATGTTTCCTTTGATCAAAATAATCGGCAAATCGATAATTGAAATTGATAAGTTGTCATGTATAAATATAAATAATTGCATCGATTCCCCTAACATTTAAAATAAATCTTCTTACACTTATTGACGCGACATATTTCTTTCTTATCGTGCGCTTAATACAAAAATATTTAGATAGCGTTCAATGTTAATATTTCTTACTGAAGATGGCTCCAAACGAGGCCGAAACGTATATGTATCGTATTTACATGACTATTAAATATTAGCTCCAAAATACTTTATTATTGGCTCTTATTTACCTGTTTTTTTTTTATTTTTTAGTTGTGAAATTAATTTAATTATTATTTACTATTAATCAAACTTTAATGAAATTAATTATTAATCAAACTTTGATATGATTGATTATACACAGACTAGCAATCAATTTCATCAATCGATTAAATTATTTGCGATTTCATTCTAACCCGAATTGTAAGGGTTATAATAAGTAAAATATTCTCTTAAAGCTTCTAAAAGACCTTGTATAGATAGATCTACCCGAAAGGCACAGTTAATATTCTGTTTAATTATTAAATCTGAAAGGATCAGAAATTAATAATTTCCCTAGAATAAATCTAAAGTATTTTTTACTCAACAAAATTGTAATTCACACTCCAACAAGAGCGCGACCGGCAAAGCTTTATTCTCAGTATTGTTAACTTAAATCTGTCAAACTCATTATAAGTAATGCGTAAACACAAGAACCAAACAACAAAATGAAATTATTTGCAACGCATCGTAGGAAAATAATCTGTCCAAGTAAAGAATTTGTGATGAATGTTGTTGCTTAGACAAGCGAGATTCAAGAAAAAATATAGATGTATCCTGTGAAAGTTTTCGAAGTTATCTACATGCTCATAGCTTGACATGGCGAACACAATGAAGAGATTCTACGGTAAGACTCTATGATCACTCACCTCTACTGCTCGAAAAACACGTAAAGAAAAGAAATTCGCGTTTGCTAGCACGAATATTAGTAGATGTGTATCTTCGTTCATTCTGTGGAAGATACTTTAGAAATTATGCCGGCCACGCTCTTGTTAGACGGACTGTAGATAATACTCGGCTTCTCTTCTATTTTTACTCCTTTCCTTCAGATAATAATTTTGAAATGCACATACAGTTTTCTGATACTTTAATCCAAGAGAGTTCCTCCCTTTCTCTTTTCTTTCTATCACACATAAAAAGTAAACAGTCTTCAGTACGTAAATGTAACATATTTCTTAAAACTATTATAGCTCTCTAAGAAAAATTAATCTCTCATAGAGTGAATAACAACGATACATGCGTACGAGAGGCGCATTCTCACTTCACGCACACTTTTCGAGTAATCAAACGATAAACGCGTCGCACCGATAATGAATAACGCTCTCAATGATGAACGGTCCCACACACGCCCGCCTTTCTAATTACGCGTTTACGACGGACCGTGATTAGTAATTACCGTTGAATGAATCAAGGCGTCACGTCGCGTCGGCTTGAAAACACGAGGATTATTAGTGAAACACTGCCGCGGCATAGTCACGATCTCCAGAACGAGAGAGCCGAGATGCGTACATTTTATCGCGCTTCGCTGGAGCGCGGATAAAACGGATCTAAAAGTCGATCAGCCCACGCGCCCGGGTTATCCTCTATCACTCTGGAAACATTTATCAATCTGGACAAGTGGGAAGTGCAGCCGGCCGCATCCGGCGCAAACATTTGCCCGCCCTAGCGCGTCGCTATCTCCTCCGAGGTAAATAAACCGTAGATATTTCTACTGGCGGTAGATACTCCTGCTGCTGGTACGTTCACCTAAAAATAATGCGAACAATTAATGAATATAGAACGCGGACACAGGCGTCTATTAATTATCTCGATAGTAGGTGCGCGTTGGAGCGGCTGTCTATTAATAGAGACGCAATTAGATAATGAACAGAGTCACACGTCGTCGGACTTGTTATTCTGTTGTTGCTGAAAAATCGATATCTCTTCCAAGGCTCTGAGAGATTAACAATCAAGAAGAAAAGTGGAGAAAAGGGCCTGTGAGAGCTGAGCGCTGGAAAGTTATACGCGGAATATAGAGAAAGATATGACCGAGGTTGAATAATAACTAGTTAATCAGTTAAAATATTAAAAATTGAAACGTTGAGATGTTAATAACTTTCAACTGAGTTTAGTTGATCTTAAACGAGTCAACTTTCAACTGCAACTAATTACTTTAAGATACATTAACTTTAACTCATTAATTTTTTTAAGTTAAAATAATCCCCCCTATTAATACTTAAATCATTGCGACCTGCTAACAATGTAGAATAAGAAGAATAAAAATAATGACGGAAGAACTTTTGTTCTCTCTGAACATCAGAGTGTTCTTTTCTCGTATGGAATTCTGAGTACAAAGCAATCGGATTTTTTTTCTACCTTTTCATTAATAATTCACAAATATAATATTTGATTAAAATATAATTTTCGAAAAGTTAATTATGCAAAAACATATATAGTGCTTTACATAATTAACTTTTAACTTTAATAAATTAATTTTATGATAACTTTTAACTGAGGTAGTATCTGTTTAAGTAACTTTTAATTTAAACTAAGTTAATTTAAGGACTATTAACTTTTACTAGTATAAGAAAGATTAACTTTCTCAACCCTAGATGTGATTTCTTGCATTACAATAAAATAAAATTATAATGTACGAATCTCTTCCGCTTTCTCTCCCCTCTATGTGTGTGTAATCTTACTTTATTATAAGAAAATACATCTTTTTCTATTCCGCGCGTAACTTTCCAGCACCTGGCCCCTTTTTTCCATTTTTATTTTTTATATTTCTTTCGGCTCATCGGAAAAGTTATCCCGCACAGATATCTTGTATAATTTTCCACTTTTTTAATGTAATTATTAAAACTTTTGTTACCATTTTCTCGTTCAAATGACTCAAACGTCGCGACTTCGTCGATGCAGCTTGATTAACGCTAAACTCCTTTTTGCCAGCAATCATATCATCGGAGGGGTGTGAGCTGGATCAAATGCGATACGGATGTCGCATCTACAATGCGCAATGCAGCTGCGGCTACGGCTGCAAATCCGAGTACAGATACAACAACAACGACGACTGCAAGTTAGCGTTGAAGGGTAACAAACGACGCTCAATACTATTCGATTCCATCAACCTGTGAAACAATTAACACGCTTGTAATATGTATATAAGTCTGTTTTCTCTTAAAAGAAAAAGAACTCTCATTATAGTTTCAACGTATTCGTTGAAAAAAATATTTGTTCCAATTCATTGTTTTAATTGATTCGAGTAATTTTAATTAAAACAACAGCAAAGATCGATACTAAATACGACGAGATCAATTTTGAAAGAAGTATCAAATGTATCTTGTATCAAATATCACGTTTTCTTACATTACGAATGAACTTAAGGGAAGGTTCTGGCTTAGATAGCTAAAAAATAGATTTTTACGAATTTTTTTTCAAAAAAGCTAATAAAGATATCAGTATATAGTTTTTACTATATTATTTATTGTTTTAAGCACAAAAAATTATTTTTTTATTAAAAAGAATTGAAATTTCGTCGCTCAGTTTTGCGTTGAGCACAGTGTCACTGGACGCTTCTAACTGCTGGACGAAATTACTATTCCTATAATAGTCTGAAACACAAATGATACAAGAAAACTATATTAAATTTGCTGAAGGATAAGCCTTTGTTATATGAAAGTCGAAATTTAACAGAATAACAGCACTTCAAAGCTATAAGTTATTCTCCCTCTCTTTTTCTTTTTTTATTTATGTCCTAGGAAAAAAACTAATTCTTTGAAAATTTTCCAAAGAAAATTTAGGTTCCAGCTAATTTGATAGTTTTCAAAATTTTTGGTTCGAACTATTACACAAACTGTAATATTATCCACTAATAGAGGCTACATCTGCTTTACTCAAAAAATTAAACAGAATTTTCTTTTTAAGTAATTTTCTATACTTAATACAGTGATAGTATAGTATGATAGAAATAGTATGATAAAAAAACTCTATATTGATATCCTTATATATTTTTTTTTTTAAATTCATAAGAATAAAGATCTCCTATCCAAACGAGAACGTCTCCTTAAGAAGAATAAATCAATAATAAACTTGACCAATAATAATGACACAGATTGATGATTACGATTATTTATTGCGAGCTGATAATAATAATTATATTTAAAATAATCATGATTATCTTCCCGCAATATTTAGTATGATTATAAATCAGAGAGTTCTATAATACAAATTCTTATTTTAAGAAAATTTTTCCAACATTATCGCTTTGCAATATCAAAATCCGAGCTCAACGAAATCATATCAATATCTCTCTCTACTGAGAACATAATTTTTACACATGCACTCCTCTCGTTGCAGGTAGACGTAGCGACTTGTGCTCACGATCAAAGCCTTGTCAGAACGAGGGCTCGTGTTCCCAAATATCGTCGGAGCCCGGATTTAAATGCCGCTGCGAAGGAACCGGATTCTATGGCACTTACTGCGAAATACGTTAGTATAATCTTCTCCGTTGACAACAGCATAGGTTTAGTAAGCGGACATCTTTCGACAGAGGATAAAAACGTATATTTATCTAACACCGAAGTCGTCGCACTTTCCTTTTTTTCTCGAGCTTCAGCGAAACGCTCTCACGATAACGTAGAGGAGAGAGCAGAAAGAAAAAAATTCACGCAAGCGATTGTATGTTACAGCTTGTCCGAAGGCAGACAATCCACAATTCCAAGGGCAGTTCCCATACGAGTGCATCGTGATCTAACTCTGGTATTTCTTTGTCTCTCGTCTGGTCGAATTCGTTTTAATATGATACATACGTACAAAAGGGAAAGAAACGCACTTCACAAAACATATTTACACATCTTTGTACATACATAATAAATGTTAAAACAGATGGTGTACGCCGCTTCATCTCCCCGCTTCATCTTCTTTACAGAATCGCGTCTCAGAAGGTAGCATGATTATTTGTACTTGAAACGTCTCTCGCGAATCGATGTAGGTAGTACACAACGACGAATGGAACGTTTAAAAACAGTCCCGGTAACTTCAAGATTTCGTAGAAAGTAGTATAGATATATTTCGATGCTTCCACTGTTTATTCATCAATAATTTTACAATATGTATGCACATGATGTGTTGAATCCATGAGATTTTTCCTTTTCTTTTTTTGGAACAAGCGCTTAGTTTGTATCGTGCTTGTGTTATGTACTTTACGTTATTTTACGTTTACCTCTCTCATATACCTCTACGATAATGCCACGTGTACTTCACTTATCGTTCACAAATGGCAAAACTTATAAAACGTGAACCATTTGCTCTTTACATAGGTAATTTGTTTTTTCTCCTCTTTTTCTTTTCGTAATTTTCATGCCGCGTTGCGCGTCCACAGAATCCGTAATACTAATTTGATTTCGACAACACGAGACTGCATCAGGAACTTAACGACATGTACATATATATTTATATATAATATATTATCTAGGACAAACATAGTTGGCCAGTTGTAATCTTTTTTTTTCACCTTTTCTTTTTTACAAATTTATAGACGTGACCTTCAACGGAGTGGACTCAGCATCATAATTAAATGTAACAGAACGCACCGCTCTAATAACGATAAAATAATTATTTAGCCAATTTCAGCGAACGCTCTGTAGCGCAAACTCTTCCGCCTCGACTTCGCTAATGATCAATATCGCGCATGTTAACACCTGCGTTTGCATATAATCTCATTTCTTTTTTCTCTGTTATTTAAATATCGTAAATTCATATTACGCATTATGTGTACATAAGGTAAAACAAGTAGTTCAAAGGAAATCATATAAATAAAAGTTGTGTATCAACGTGTACGTATATTTTTTTGTTCTTTTTTTTTTTTATAAAGACAAACAGGACGTCGTCATTAGAACATACAAACAGGCAGGTTGTCAGCGGTCCAAACTTCTACATAACCTGGGATCTATTTCTGCATTCTGCGTTCTGTATTTTGAACAGAATAAATTGACATTATCGATCGAATTTCTATCAAAGAAGTATACTAATGAAAAATTTCGACGATTCCTACAAACTATTTATTATTTCAGAAAAGTAACATACGAATAGGCTAGTTTAGCTGCAAATTCATGAAGATGCAAAAAATTAATCAAAGAGGGCATACTGGAGTAAATCCTAACGTTATATTTGAAGATTAAACAAACTGCCTTCCTGTTCGTTTTCTCCCTTTATGACATGATAAAATGAGTCGTTGTTCTTTTTTTAATTTTTTTTTCTTTTTTTTTTCCTTTTCTTTTATAATCTCTTCCGGCCCTCGATCACCATTCAGTTTCACTGATTATTATCATTATAATTATTGTTGTCACATTAGTCTGAATTTGGCAAACGTTTACGATCATGCTTATAATAATAATCTCGGTATCGAAGTGTACGGACTAAAAACAAATAATGTAGATTACAATTTGGATAATCGATAACCCCGTCTCATGGCGCATTATTCCACTATGGCACCGGGAGTGTGCTGGCATCTTTCCTGGGTAAAGCCGCGCGTGCCATCGGGCCCTTTCGGTTGCCTAACTACGGTCAATTTTGGGCCCGTATCTTCCATAGATATAGTACGCAGTCGGCTTATCAGACGCTCTGGTCGCTGCTGGACCGCGTCACTGTTAAGGATAAAAAATTCCCAGATAAAATTGTATATTATACATTATAGCTACATCCGATATTTACGGTCAGTCTATAGTATATGCAGTATAAATTATAGATTTTCGATACTGGAGCACTGAATATCGGAACGTATCTACGTCAAAACGTTATAGGGAATACTTCAAATTTACGTTGACCACTTCCGATGATTTTAACCCCTTGACTGTGTAGCAAAAATGAGACTTCCGTACCACCATAGTGTAAAAAAAAGTTTCTTACATTTTCGCTACGATTTTAGTATTAAAGTTTTCAAGATCGTTGAATTCGAATATGATATCAGATTTTCAAAATTCAAAACGGCGGTTCCAATATGGCGGAAATTTGAAAAAATACAACGACAATCATCTATGCGCTACTTCCCATGTAGGAATCTCCAAAACAATCCAACTATTTTTTCAAAATTTTATCCACCGTATTGGATCCGTCATTTTGAATTTTAAAATTCAGATATCATATTTGTATTCAGCGATCTCGAAAACCTTAGTACAATTATTTTTATAAAAATCCAATTATTTTTCCAACTTTTTATCCGCCATATTGGATCTGCCATTTTGAATTTTGAAATTCAAATATCATATTTGTATTCAGCGACCTCGAAAACCTTAGTATAATCATTTTTATAAAAATCCAATTATTTTTCCAACTTTTGATCCGCCATATTGGATCTACCATTTTAAATTTTCAGATTCTGATATATTCGGATTCAGAGACCTCAAAAACTGTAAGATAGCTTTACAAATCGCAAAAGGATAAATCAGTTTTTTTTTTAAGATGTACATATATGTATATATACATTACACATTGGTGGTACGTACTTTTTCTGTACACATATAATACATATACACTCGAGGGGTTAAGTACTGAGCCCGACTCGAATCAAATAAATATTATCAATCTATCCTATGCGTGTTATACTCTTTCTTCAATTAAATATTGTGTAGCCTACGTTTATATAACATTTTTCTCTCACTTTTCATACGATATGCTATGAGAATGTGTCATTGTGCTATCTCAACATTAGCTTACCTTAATCGAGTCACGTTGCATGCCGAAGACTTGCCCGTGCGTTGATTTGTAACTATGGCAAATTCCACCGAGTCCCCCGGTTGCAACGTGGCATGATCTCGAACCTCGCTTATGTGGAAGAATAACTTCTTACCCTCATCGACTTCATAGGCGAGGAAGCCGAATGGGCCCCTTACTGCGTCTACAGTTGCTCTTCTTTTTATCCTCACAGCTACGATATTACACGCATGACCGGCTGAATCCACCTGAAGTTGCACGGGATCGCCAGCCTGTAACAATTCCCGTTTGTTGGATAATCCCATGATCCCAAATTCATATTCCTGCGGCTCCTCGTCCTCATTAGTGGGATTGATCTTTATCAGGCCGGCGTACTCGGTCTGCTCGGGATTCGCGCTTCGCAACGGTCTTATAACAGTGCCACCGAGCACTTCGCTGACTGGTGTCGGCCTGGGAATACTTCCACGAGGCACCAGTTTAACATGATCGGCGGCTACGCAACCTCCAGAACCTCTTCCATTGCCAGAACTACTGATTGTACATTCAATATCGGCTCCCAATTCCAACGTACTAGCATCTCCCTCGAAGTTACTGCGAATAAAATATTAATCGAATGTCATTATTCGCATTGTATAGAAAAGTATTGATAAACAGATAAGTATGCATAACCGCTTATAAATAACATTTTAAGCAATTGCTTATTCTAGACAATCATATATGTAATTATTCAAAAGCTCTTAATATACATATACATATATATGTATCGTTCTTATAAAAGTCATGATACAAAAGTACGATTCTCACCTGTAGTGGAAAAATATTTCTTTATCGTGATTTACTGTCTCAATAAAGCCAAATCCGTCCTTAAGAGCAGCAATAAAACCTTGACAAACTTGTCCGTTTGATTTTTTGTTTGTATTTTGAATTTTCTCACCAGCAGCGTTTATTAAAAATATGTCAACAGCAACAAGTTCTTTATTTCGTTTTACTTGACAGATACTGAACATCACCTGCAAATCGCGTATTTGTAGAAAAATATACAAAAAAAATGCCTTCTTTAGAACAAAAGCATATAAACTATCACGTATAATAATTTTGTATAAATTTACCTTATCATTCAATTTTGGAATATTTTTAGGATCGCAATCTTTAGAGAAGAAAATAATGCTCTTCTGTTGGCCATAACCAATGAGGCCAGGTTCAACTGAACTTGTGTCTTGTATTACAGTACCTAATATATCCGTTTCTATAATAGTTTCAAATTGTACGGTACCAGCTGGCAAATGTTTCAGCCTAATAGCACTTTGTCGATTATTCGAGAATGATGATGAAGGGTCCTTACAGGAAAAAAAGAGAGAGTAATGGATACAGAACAATACAAAATGCAATAATACTTAAAAATACCGCTAAATATCACGTCCAAATATACTTACTTGTACGATTGTAAATTCAACTTCATCCCCTACACTAATTTCTCTATCAACATCGAGAACCTCGTTAAAGTGAAAGAAAAGTCTCGCATCTCGGTCTACACAACGAATAAAGCCAAATCCGTCCTTAAGAGCGGCGATAATACCTTGCTCTCGTCTTTCCCCTGACACAGTGAAAGATTCTGGCAATAACAATATCTCTGTAGCTCTTTTGAGCTGATCTCTAGTGTCTGTTGCAATACGAAACTGAACCCAGTCTCCATGCCTATCCAAAAAGATAAATTTGCTTTTACAAATACTTAAAAAACTAAATAAGTTTTACATACATAAAAGTAAAATATGTACAAAGGAAAAAATAGATAAAGAGGAGACAGAGAATATTTTTGCGATTTATATATATATATATATATATATATATATATATGTATTATATATATATAATACAATATATATATATATATATATAATACATACATATATATATATAT